CAACATTATGTAGAGAGGTTAATGAGTGAAGGTGTTGATTTTTTGCAACAATATGTAGAGGAGTTAATGAGTGAAGGTGTTGATTTTTTTGCAACAATATGTAGAGGAGTTAATGAGTGAAGGTGTTGATTTTTTGCAACAGTATGTAGAGGAGTTAATGAGTGAAGGTGTTGATTTTTTGCAACAATATGTAAAGGAGTTAATGAGTGAAGGTGTTGATTTTTTGTAACAATGTGTAGAAATATTAAAGTGTGTGAAAATGTAGAAAATAAAGACAACTCAAAAGATACAAAATGGATCTTCCCAGTAAAATAACACCTTTCGTGGCCAAGTCTTGGTATGAAACACATTTAATTCTTAAAAATTAGAGCATATAGAAGCTATTCAGTTAAAAATAAATTTTTTGTCTGAAATTCATTTTTCAAAAACTTGTATATAATTTGACTTGATGACTACTATATATTATGGATAAATGGCAGAAAACTTAAAACTTCTGTTAATTTCACACACATTATCCAAGATTATTGTAAATGTTCTTGTCTTTTATTATTACACCAGTTAATTACAATAATGTACAAACTTATTTTGTTCACTCTTATACTATTTGAAAAGTGTTAAACAGTTTTATGTTTCATTCAATTATATCCAGAGAAAATTGGCTTACAAATTAACTTAGTTGTAAAAGAAATGAATATTATGCATATTCTTAATTTAAGTTTAGCTGTGGTTTTTGTTGTTGTTTTCAAATGGATATTTAGTATTGACTTGTTGGCATTCATCCTGCACTTTGAAATAATTTGTTTATAATTAGATAAATTAACTCCTTAATGCTTGATTACTTAGAATCCATTTGATTAATATAAAATTCAAAAACAAATGTTGACAAAAAATGGTGAAAATACACTTTTGTGATTTTTTTACTGTTATTCTAACTACTAAAACGTAGAATTTGTGTTTATTTTTTACTGTTATTCCAACTACTACAACATAGAATTTGTGTTTATTTTTTACTGTTATTCCAACTACTACAACATAGAATTTGTGTTTATTTTTTACTGTTATTCTAACTACTACAACATAGAATTTGTGTTTATTTTTTATGGTAGCTTTTTTTCTGGTCTCTTGAAAGGTGTGAGGATGTTGGATGGTGAAGTTACAGATGCAGTAGAAGCTCATTCTCTAAGTCTGTTTAACCAGTACATAGACATTTACAGTGCTTCTTGGGGACCTGATGATGATGGAAAAACAGTGGATGGCCCAGGACATTTGGCAACCCTGGCTTTTAAAGAGGGAATAATAAAGGTTGAATTTTATTACAGTTCCTGTAGTAATGTTAATTAATGTCTAGGGATATAAATTATTTATTAAATGTTGAATATTTATAGGATTGTTTGGTTGTTGATAAAATGGAATAATAAACACCTTTGAGTTTATAATATTGGTTGCCAGCTACTAATAGGTTTATATTTTTTTGTTTTCCATTAGCACTTTTCTTATATGTCACATGATGATAGTGTAAGGAGTTCTAACAATTATCAAGTTATGTTTACAATATTTAATAAACAAAATTTAAAAAGTTATGCAAATATTAATGCATGATCTTTAATAAATGTTTTGTTATACTGCACTACTAATAAGTAGTTATAATTTTTTAGATAGGTTACGAAATTATTAATACAGGAGCATATGTATTCTGCTATAGTTTACTGCACTGCTAATACAGAGAAAGAATATATATTGTCGAGATCTGCCAGTTTGAAGAAACAACTATATAAAAGTGTTTTACATTAATATATCTACTCCAGATGAACCAACTTTGTGATCTTTCAATAGAGTATGATTTATAGAGATATTTCAATAATATGGAGTATTTCAATGAGAGCTTATTATCAAAATGACTAAACTATAGAAGAAAGAGAAGGTGAAGCCTTAAATGTTTTATTACATGTGTTTGTTGTGATGATGTAGGATATAAAAAGTTTTGGGACATTCAATTTTGTGCCACAAGCAATATTGGTTGGGATTTAACTTATCACAATAAGTATTTCCTTTATTATGGTGTATAATGCCATTTAACCCTTTCGCTACAGGCAGGTCAAAGTGCACATGTCATGACTTTTTTTAGAGTTACATTAAAAACTAAATTAAATTACTTTATTACCATGGTATACAAATAAACTTGACATAAAGATGTAGTTAATAAATTAAATTTTAATATTAAATTCTTAATTTTATAAGGAAGTTTAAGTAGAAATAGATATTTGAGTGACTAGTTTTTGTAAATCTTTTAATACCATAGTGTCAAGAAATCTTTAATTTAGGGAAACTGAGGACTTCAGGAATCAAACTTTAAATACTGTTGTTTATCTGCTTATATCTGACTGACTAGTTTTTGAAAATCTTTTAATACCAGAGTGTCAAGAAATCTTTAATTTAGGGAAACTGAGGGCTTGAAGAATCAAACTTTAAATACTGTTGTTTGTCTGTTTATATCTGAGTGACTAGTCTTTGTAAATCTTTTAACACCAGAGTGTCAAGAAATCTTTAATTCTTACTTCAGTTGGGTATTTGAGACATAGGTTTTTGTTGTTAAGATGATCACAGAACACTTTAATTGAATTCAGACCAGTTCAAAACTGCAAAAAAATGTTGCTAATGTGTCGTAACAAAAGAAAGGAGAGATGTAGCTCATCCTTGTACGACCTTCATGAAAATTGGCAAACAACAGAAGAAAGAGTAGACCCCATTGGTGCACCATCTAGTATGTTGTAAGCAACAGAAGAAAGAGTAGACCCCATTGGTGCGCCATCTAGTATGTTGTAAAATTCTATCTAAAATTTTTTTACAGAGTTGTTTGAGTCATGTCACCTTCAATTCTGATGTGAATAACTGTGGCAACATTCTTGATTGGAAATCTAGTAAAGAGAGACTTGGCATCAAAACTGACTAAAATATAATCAACAGTAATATTTACATCATGCAGATTCTGTAAATACTATTATCAGTACTCTTCATGTCATATAGCTTCTGTACAAGATCAGAAGAATCTGTAAGCTAGGAGTCTGTATGGTAAGCCAGGAGAGTGGTAAACTGACAACATGTTGAGCTGTATTATATTTAGGACTGTTAATGTAGTTTGCAGTTTGTGTAATTCAAACACCTGGGTTGTGGTTCTAGATTAATATATATATATAGTCTTCAGTAATTTCTCCAGATCATTAAGGATCACTTAAAATGTACAAGTTTCTTTCAGTTGTCTTGGTTAGGATCTCTTTTCAGAAGGGAATTGATTTGTGGAAAATAGAAATTTAATTTCTTGTTGAAAACATAAAGTTGCAAGTGAAGTAATTTTTGAGTGGAAAGGTTTACACCATTATTGTTGGGTTCTTGATGCTCTGTGCTAAAACAGTTTGTTAACTAACATTTTTCAAGTTGTTGTTGAAACCTTCTTTGTTGTTTTTGATGATTCTTGTTACTAGATTATTTCAAAATGTTTGTTAAAGTGGTAAAGTGACTGGAGTAGAGGACTGATTGAAATTCCTTCCTTAAACCTAATCATCTCTCGGAAGTTAGCTATCTTTAAATGATACATATTTAATGTATGATAAACAGCTTTCAGTTTACATTTTCATTAAGACTTTTCTGTAAATTATATTTGAAGTTTTCAGTTGGAACTGCTTTGAAGTGATTGGTTATGACAACAAGTTAGAAATACTCAGTGATTTTTATGTCTACAAAGATGCATTCCACTTTCTGTAATGTTTTAAATAACTGGAAAATAAAGGCTTTCTGATAAGCTTTACAAGTCATTAATTATGAAAAGCTATTACTTAAAGGCTTTTGTAATTATTGTTCATCAAATAACCTTACAAATGCTTACCTGTTATATTATTCTTAGGGAAGAGGTGGGCTTGGTTCCATTTTTGTGTGGGCTTCTGGTAATGGTGGCCGTGACCATGACAACTGTAACTGTGATGGATATACAAACTCCATTTGGACATTGTCAATAAGCAGTACTACTGAAAATGGGCAAGTACCTTGGTACAGTGAAGCATGCTCTTCCACACTGGCAACAACTTATAGTAGTGGATCTTCTGGAGACAAGCAAATTGTAAGTTTTAACGATATGTATGTACAAACACTAACAACACTTTATCAGGATTATATTGGTTGGAAAGTCATGTTCTTCCACACTGGCAACAACTTATAGTAGTGGATCTTCTGGAGACAAGCAAATTGTAAGTTTTAACGATATGTATGTACAAACACTAACAACACTTTATCAGGATTATATTGGTTGGAAAGTCATTGAAAAATGATGATATAATTATAAGTCCTATAAACTTAAAATGCCTTCATCAAAATATGTCTCAAAATTAACTTATAAACTAGTCAGAACAGTGAGTTAAGTTTAACATAGCTACTCTCTCAACTCTGAATATATAATTATTTACTACCTGAATTGTGACTAATGTATCAAGTGCTGAACCATTAACATTTTACTTATTCCTTGTTAGTATAAATAGGGATGGAACATGTGTTTCCATATATGTTATTAACTTCAGTTGCATGTGTGACTCTCAGTTAACTACTTCTTGACATAGTTGTTGCATGATGTAAGTATATTTCTTGAATCAAAAGACTTAGTGTGTGCCAGAAGTTTTTTCTCTTCAGGTAAGCAGTAAATATACAATATTTAAAATAATTATGGAAATGCTGAAGAAAAAGGCCTTAAAAGGCAAATACCACAGGAATGCCTTCCCTTTAGTATGTGGAAATGAACCACACCAGTACTGTCATGTTTTGATAGTTTATACTGTGACTGGTTATCATCCAACCAATCAAAAGTGCCACACCAGTATAAAGCATATAAAGTACATGTTGTAACACTATGCACAATAGTAGTTGGGTAAGTCCAGTCATGGCACCTGGGACTGAAACACTACACATAAAATGTGTGAAAAGATAAAGACTCGAAGTGTTGCATATGATACAAATACTTATGAAGACTATTCTATGAAGAGTTAAAAAGTATGTACATATTTCCATTTGTTAATTGTAAACATTTCATTGCACTGATAATAGCAAGAGTTTGTGATATAGTAGAGAAAATGGAAAATAAAATATAAACATTGATATTCATTTAGGAGGTTCCATGCAAATGGAGTGTGGAACTGTAAGATAATTGTATTTTTATACTCAAAATAAAAATCACCTTGCACGTGAACTATTCAGAGTGTGAATGCAAATATCTACACTAAATAACGATTTTTTTATTAATATAGTAGAAAAAAAATTAAATATGTTATTTTTCTGAAATTACATACTTTTAGGAAAGTTAATGTCAAACTTCAAACACTTTCATCCACGAGGTTAATTTTTGTGCAGAATTTTCACAAGAGTTATGTGATCTACTTGCAAAACACATAGGTCATCATCATAGGGATAAATCAAGGTTTAAAGGTAAAATATTTACCCTTAAATTTCCACCTTGACTTAGCTTATACATTGTATCAATACCTTTGTTGTTGTAATATTCAAGAATTTAACCAATTTTGACGTGTATTTTTCAGTTTGTTTACTTTCATACTCTTTGCATCTGCAGAGAATGGACCATGATGGGACAAATGGCATGTCAAGAAAACAATAAAAGTTCTTAATTTTACAATTTTAAAAGTTGATTTACAAGATGTATGAAATATTGTTTCAGAATGGCTGCCAGTATTCAAATCATTTTCTTGTTACAGTTAACTCTTTCCACACTAGCTCAGTGAAATTGAGTGAGTTTGTAACCATTTTATACACTTTATAGTTTCCATATTATAACTTGTAATATAATATGTATATATATTCACAAAATTTGGCAGGCTTTCAGTAAATATTAAGTCATTTGTAGACAAAAAATCAGAATTTTTCATAAATTATTTTCACTGAACATTTCTTCATGAATATATGCAATCAAAGTGTTGGCTGCTTTGAGTGCAAAGTGATTTTTATCTTCAGATTAAAAATATATTTCTTCATCTGAAAAAATCTGAAGTTTCATTTTCATAATCTCTAAAACCAGACTGTTGTTAGTAACAAAATGGTCTTAATAATCCTGATTACCAGACTAGACTATTGTTAGTATTAAATTATCTTAATAATCCTGATTACCAGACTAGACTATTGTCAGTACTAAATGGTCTTAATAATCCTGATTACCAGACTAGACTGTTGTTAGAAACTAAATGGTCTTAATAATCCTGATTACCACACTAGACTGTTATTAGTATTAAATGATCTTAATAATCCTGATTACCAGACTAGACTGTTGTCAGTACTAAATGGTCTTAATAATCCTGATTACCAGACTAGACTGTTGTCAGTTCTAAATGGTCTTAATAATCCTGATTACCAAACTAGACTGTTGTCAGTACTTAACGGTCTTAATAATCCTGATTACCAAACTAGACTGTTTTTATTATTAAATGGTCTTAATAATCCTGATTATCAAACCAGACTGTTGTTAGTAACTACATGATATTAATAATCCTGATTACCAGACTAGACTGTTGTTTGTACTAAATGTTCTTAATAATCCTGATTATCAAACCAGACTGTTGTTAGTAACTACATGATCTTAATAATCCTGATTACCAGACTAGACTGTTGTCAGTAATAAATGGTCTTAATAATCCTGATTATCAAACCAGACTGTTGTTAGTAACTACATGATCTTAATAATCCTGATTACCAGACTAGACTGTTGTCAGTACTAAATGGTCTTAATAATCCTGATTACCTAAATGCATTTCAATCGTTTTTTTCAGTAAAACTTACTATTTTATCTGTTACTTTCTCTACCCTAACTGTATACAAGGTTGGTCAGTTTGACTGACCTTGTACCAACCAAAAAATGAAATAAATCTAAATTACACTTTTTTCTTTCTAGAATGATTTCAAATTGCAACATGAAACTACATTTGTTTATCCCAAATAGCTTTACATTCATAACAATATTTGCCATCTCTGACCCTGTGAAACTTTACATTCTATGTTAAGAACATTATATGTGTATTCATGCCTCTCTTACCACAATCTCTTGGCCAATCACATTTTCCGATATGGTGATACCTATGTTGATATCTAACTTGCATTTACATTTATGCTTGTGTGGTCATATTTTCTAGTGGGACATTGTGCATTTCACTTCTTCAAACTTTTGTTTATATTCATATGACATACATGCTGTTCATATGAATTTCTTTAATTTTCATGAGGAATGTTATATTTATACTCAGATGGAAATTGTTTTGCAAAAAAAGGAAATTTTTATCAGAAGTAATCTTCCCATCGTTCTGCTTTCTCACTCATACAACAGATTGTTTACACAATATTAAAAGTCAGGAGTAACCTACTGCTTGTATTATTAGACAGCTTTTATATAATAGTTAAGTCTTCAGTGCATGTAATGGACTTGTTGCTTATACAACAGATTATTTACACAATATTAAAAGTTGGGAGTGAGCTACTCCTTGTATTATTAGGCAGCTTTTATATAATAGTTAAGTCTTCAGTGCATGTAATGGACTTGTTGCTTATACAACAGATTATTTACACAATATTAAAAGTTGGGAGTGAGCTACTCCTTGTATTATTAGACAGCTTTTATATAATAGTTAAGTCTTCAGTGTATGTAATGGACTTCTTGCTTATACAACAGATTGTTCATACAATATTAAAAGTCAGAAGTGAACTACTGCTTGTCTTTTATGATGTTAGAAAAACATGTAGGTTCAAGAAGTCTTGATAGAAATGAATAAAAAATCCTATAATCTGAGTGTTTTCAAAAGGTGGACCTTTCTTCTTCAGGGGCAAACTGGGAATGGTGGTGTAATCGCAAGAGTGATGTATATAAAGAGAGTTTAGTGACGTCATGAAGGTCATCCAGTTTTCTGGGAAATGTTTAGTCTACTTCTCTATGTACTGTTGTAAATGTCTCATTTCCTATACAATCTAGCCAATGGCGAGAGTGTATATGAAAAGATGTTAGAGATATTTGACTTTAGAAATGGCTAAATATATGTAAATGTACAAATAAATTAAAGGTGACACCTGATGACTGATTGAAAAAAAGATGTTATGCTAATCAATTCATAAAAAAATAGGTATGAAAAATTATCCTAAATAAATAGTAATTCAGCATTCACATTACATGAAAAAAGATAAGCAATGAATAAAAAGTATTCCTCTGACAGAGATGAAACAAATGAATGGACATCACTGATTCCAAGATATAGATTAATTCTGAAAGGTTGAACAGTGTTTAGTTTAACAATCCAATAAGCTTCTTTTATATAAGAAGAATAGTCAACTATTTGAAAGTGCTCGAGTTTTGGGTCTTGTTTTGTTAATAACTTACCTATAACTGTAGTCTGAATTTAAACTAATGGATCTAAGTTCATGTAAACAAGTTAATCCTTAAAACATGAGGACACAATTAACTAGTCTTTAGATTGTATTTATTTAACAAAACAATGTATTAACCTGTTTTATGATTTACCAGTAAGATGAATTATAGGAAAGCCTAAAGTACTGTTACACTTACTAAGCATAATTTATTGTTGTGGTTTAAATAAAACCAATAAAAAATGAGTGTTAGCCTTTATGAAGTGATTCTTAATAAAAATGTAAACTTTTTGACTAAACACTGAACTAATATAATCAACATCTAACTTTATATGGTCTCATCATATATTTGTAATTGTTTTCAAGATACACCTATTTCAACATCTGACTCTGCCTATAGTCTCATCATGTTTTTTTACTTGTGTATAATTTTAAAATGATAAATAACACAATTAAAAACATTTAAATTAAGGCCAATCTATGAACACTAAAAAGTTGACTCTACATGTTTCAGTGTTACAACATCATCCTAAGGAGTGAATTGCTAGACATAATTGTGTCTTATTTATATACATATTTTATGTTAAATAGGTCATGTGATCTATGTACAGGTTTACAATTTCCAAGTTAATTTTTTAGAGAAGGTCACCCCCACATTTTTTCATAGATATTCGCCGGACCTACCGTCATCTCTATTTAATAGTATAGTGTAGCCCTGTTATAATGTGATTGTTGAGGTCCATAAAATGTTATTGTGAAACAAGCTTGGTCACTCTAAATCTGTGATTTGTAAAGATACACTTAAAATATTAGAAGTTATTAGCATGTAAACTATAACAAGGTTGTGGTTATGAGGTCGGTTCCAGAGACCGAGCCCGTGTTGAAAGAGTTAATGACCCATAGCGTTATATATCTAAATTTGCATAAAATCGGGGTTTCACTGTACATGTTCTTTTTTCTATTTAATCATTTCCAAGGATTCGCAGATATTATTGCTATAATACCTTTTGGTTGAGCCAGTATTACAGTTTTTTTCCCCACAATACTGTATGTTGTGTTTCATGTACATGTTCTGCTATGGCTGAATATTTTTTTTTTATTTCTTATATATCCTTTATGCTCCATTAAACAATATTTTAACTTATGTTTAGTCTGTCCAATATAAATATTTCTACATTCAATTTTATAGATTCTTGTTTTTTCAATTAACTGTAGGTTATCTTTAGTATTACCTAAAATTTGCTTTATCTTATTAATTGGTTTAAATATATAATAAAATATTTGTTGTTTTCAGAACATTTTAAATTGATTATTAGTTAGACATGGAATATATGGCAAAATTAAAGCTTCCTTTTTAATTTTTTCATAACTGGGTTTTAAAGTAATACTTTGATCAGTCATTACCACATTAGTGAATTTGTTGACACCTCTATCTACATTATTTGGGTTAAGTTTACTTTCAGCTG